AGTATACTCCCCACCATTGTCTGATCGCAAATATTTCACCTTGTGTCCAGTCTGAGTCTCAACTTGTATGCACCAAGTTTTGAAGGTGGAAAACACCTCAGATTTGTGAGTAACATAGTATACCCACACATACTTGGAATAATCATATATAAATGATACATAGTACAACTTTTCATATAGTGAGGCAACAGTGTCCCCACACGTCACTATGTACATACTCCAATAACTCCTTGGAACTATGAGTTCCAACGCCCAAAGTTTGCCTATGTTGTTTTTCCATGATGCAATGTTTGCAAAATGACAAGTCAACTTTACCCAAACCGGGTAATATCTTTTTCTCATCAAGAAGAGACATGTATCGATCACTCATATGGCCTAATCTGGAATGCCATACATGAGACAACTCAACGCGAGATCTGGTAAAGTGAACTTTGCCAGAAATAGTGATGCCCTCTAACAAGTACATATTATTGTGGTTGTATTCCCGAAGAATAACCTTCTTATCACATGATCGGACATCTAACACGCCTTGTCTAGAACTCCATTCTAAGCCGTGTGAGTCCAATACTCCAAGAGAGATCAAGTTCTTTATCATGTTAGGTATAAACCTAACATGGTTCAACGTACGATTGACATCATCAAACATGCGAATCTTGACAGATCCAACACCCTCAATTCTACAGGGTTGATCCTTCCTTTCTCATAAGAACAGAACCGTTTGATACGGAGAAAGTACAAAAGAACTCTATAATGTAACAAATGTGATAAGAACAAGCACTGTCAAGAATCCATACATCACCAACAACTAGTGATGAGTTGCAGAGGGCATACCTCTGGCATCATAGATCGTCTGTGTACAAATCGTTTGCCTCAGTATCAAGATGTTCAGCAACGTTCGCCACTGAAGGGGAGGTTGTACTTGTCATTCGACAAAACTTCATGATGTGGCATTTCTTACCACAGCTCCAACAAACAACATTCTTGTTGTCAAATGGTTGAGCCATAAACTATACCTTCCTTGGATTAGGAGATTTTGATCTTTGACTCTTCGCGCCTCGACGTCGTGGATCCTGGGTATCTCTCGGTTGAAATTGACCTCAAGCCATAATAAGTGCTGATCCAGAAGTGGATAGGACGGAGGAGGATAACAAATCCTGCTCAACCGCATCTGTCAAAACGGCACTTACAACCTCGTTGTAAGTGATTGCAGTGTTCTGAGGATGAAGAAGAATCTTCGACTGTGTGTGATAAGTAGACGGCAATGAGTGGAGAAGATGCATTGCCTTCTTTGTGTCAGGAAGCTCCTCCCCATATTCCGAAGATCCACTAATAGATTTCCATAGGCGTGAATGTGGTCTTGTATGCACGTGCAGGGCTTCATAGTAAACCATAACAATCGCATGTAAGTGTTCATCACAATCGTCGGATTGTTCTAATGGAACCGTTGCTGAAGTGCATCAAGTCACTTGGAAACTTCAAAGTATTTGTCAATCTGCTTGATTATGATAGGGTTTAGATATGCCAAGACCGTGCAAACTGCCTGGTCATGAGCAGCAGTCCATTCAATGTCATTTATGCTAGAAGGTTTTTCTCCCAAGAATATACTGAGACCCATGGATGGTAATATTACCTTTTTTTGCTTTTCCCAAAGCAAATAATCACCGTGGCCATCGAAAGGTATGATGTTATATCCAAAATTTCCACCGACCTGTCGGCCTACCGACTCTGCACGTCGGAAATGAGACACAATGGCAGCTTCGGAGTCAATTTCCTCCTTTTGAGTCATCCTTCAGTTCCTGAAAAATGTCCATGTGCTTTAGTTGTGTTGAGAGCTTTCCAACGATACCCAATTTGACTAGTTTCCGGTGAAAAAATATTTTCAAGAAATATTTATGACGGAACATTCATGTACCGTCGGTCCTACCGTCACCGTTGAATTTTTTCCGTCACTGTTACCGTTGATCAACCGTTGATTGCATTCACCCGCTGACCACGTTTGATCTCTGACCACGACTGCAACCATGTTAAGTCCGACCACCTTGACTATAACCACGGTTGATCCAACCACAACTAGAACTGTGACTGATCACGTCCGGCACTAATCACGTCAGACCCTAACCACATTGCAAACCACGCTGACGACTATGGGGAGGGGATCACCTGCAGACTGTGCTCCAAACTACCCTGTTTGGGGGTTGGGGAAAATCTCCCTCCTGCCAACTGTGACTACTTCGGGAAGGGGGTGGCTAAATCCTCCTCTTATGCAAAAAGAGTGGGCTAAATCTCTAACCGGGACTAACCTTAACCGCGCGGCCTGCCAACTACGGCCGCTTCAGGAAGGGAGGGGGCCCTAAATCCTCCTCCTTCGCGAAAAGGTTGGGGTCGGGGGATACTTCTTCATACAGTAACTCCGCTTCTCTCCTCTCTTCCTAACTCCGCGGGGAGGGGAGGTGGTGATAGCTCGGCTCCTCTACTCTCTCCCTAATCGCGCGGGGGGAGGGAAAGATGAAGATAACTCCGCTTCTCTCCTCTCTCCTAACCGCGCGCTTCGTTCTCTACTCTCCTGCGCGTGGGGGGAGGGGGCAAAAAGTACACTCTTGCTCTAACTGCTCGGACGGAGTAGACTCCCTGCTCGCGACCGCTTCACTATTACACTCACTGCTTTCGCTAGAGAGCTCTCTTCTTTTAATCTTCACACCTCTCCTTTTACACGAGCTCGAATACTCTTTGATCGTCACAGAACCCATTAGCAACAAAGAATCCGTCAGTGACAAGAAAAATGGCTTTGTCTACAGTAAAACTTGGCACTTTTAGAGAAAACCGTCAAATACTGTCACATAAAAAACGTCACGTGCTATAAAATAATCAAAACACACTATGACACAGACTCCGAACCGGAACCTGCTCTGATACCAATTGTAACGATAAACCTCAGACTAAGCAAACCAACAACACGATAAACACAAAGTACACATGTATAACGTGGTTCACCCTCAGAGGCTACGTCCACGGAGCAATATACTCGAGAAAGTTTACTGCTTGAAGTGAGTTATTTTTATCACTCTTAGGCTATATATACCCAAGGTAGTCAAACACTCTAAGCTATAAATAGCTATATATTTGGTTAACCTCAGTTAACTCCTTAACTAGAATTAACTTCAACAAAAACTCGTGAAAATTTGTTGCTTGAAGGAATTTTTATTATAGATTTGAAGTTTTTCATAAGATAAATAAATAAAATTGTTGGTCAATGGATTGCTTATAGTGGATTTTAAATTTTTGATTTTGTCAACATAAATGTAACAACTTGTGATAATTGATTGCTTGAAGGATTTAAAGAACTTCTTACAATAGAATTTAAGTTTTTGATAAGATAAATAGACCAACTTGTGAAAATTTATTGCTTGAAGAAGGGCAATGGATTTTTTATAATGGATTTTAAGTTTGTTGTAATATAAATAGAACATCTTGTGAAAACTTGCTGTTTGAAGTAGTATGATCCACTTCATGTAATAGATTTTTTGTTTTTGTTTTTGATAAGATATAAAAATAAAACTTGTGAAATTTTTTTTATTGAAGGAGTATTATGCACTTCCTGAAATAGATTTTTTGTTTTTTTTTATAAAATAAAACAACAACTTGTGAAAACTCGTTATTTGAAGTAGTCTAATGAACTTCTTTTAGTTTTTTTTTAGTTTTTTTTTTTATAAGATAAATAAAACAACTTGTGAAACTTGTTGTTTGAAGAGTGTTTATGTACTTTTTGTAATTAATTATTAGTTTTTGATTTTGATCAATGAAATAGATGAACTTGTGAAAATTTGTTGCTTGAAGGAAATGATAGACTTCTTCTAATCAATTTTTAGTTTCTTTTTCTAATAAAAATTAGAATAAATAGAGAACACTTGTTACTTAAAGTGAAATAATGTCACAAACGTGACAGTGGCAGTGACAATGCAAAGTTGTCATACGGATGCAGTGAAAGTGTGCAAACCGTGTCGACCTTTTTTCAGCTTAAGAGAGGTAGTGTCAATTTGCAACATTAGAGTTTCCTAGTAGCCTACTAGCAATATAAATGAAGAGTCTAATTGGAATGATATCTTTAATCTCGTCAACAACTCTTGTATCAACTCTTCAAGTATCAAACTACTTCTAGTTTTATAGCTTTGAATATCATTATTTTCAATTATCTCATCTTGTTATTAATTTCAGTTTTCTCGCTACGAGTGTTGTTACTTTCAATGTTGAAGCTTTCAATGCTACTCTAAATTACTTGTGAGTTGCCATCCGTAACAACTTGCATTTATCTCAGTTAAATAGGTTTTTTAATTCAATTGTTATGATGAAAATTAGATTATATGAAAACGATCAAATTGAAGATGTATAGATTTTTTTTGAAAATTTTAGAACATAAAAATCAAATATATTGATAAAAAATACAGTGACAAGGTAATAAAAAATATTACCTTAATTACCTGTGTTTATATTCATGTAGTTTGAATAAGAATTTAGAATAAGACAACGTGGGATGGTTGGAATTGTGGGTGAGAATTTGGCCAGTTGCGAAAGAAACATCCGGGGATTAGAAGGCTATTCTATCTACACCACGCGCAAAATCTCTAACAAATGTGTATATGAAGAGTATACATGCCTCCGGCTTGCTGAAGAAAGCGAACCGCCCGCGTCAGTTCGGCCGAATTAGAAGTGTGCGACATGGATCCCCAAATTCACCTTTTGGTAACAAGCGTTCAGGGGACGAGTTGTGAGCAAGGGCTCACTACTTGTCGCAAAATTCCAGGCGGCATATGTTTTGATAGAATAAAAAACATGGCAATCTGATCCGAAGTCGCGAGGCTCATAAGACGTCGGACGGTTCCCTACAACAACGAAGACAACACACGTTCTCCTGAGAGCCAGTCTGGAGTGGAACCGAGCGGAGGGCCAAGAGGCAAGACAATCCGAGCACAGGGCAGCAGACCCACTCGGAGGACATGAACGCATCATGCTCGTGTCGTTCTGTCCCTGCAAGCACAGAGCACAAGCTGTTCCCTGCAGGGATAAAAGGCCATCGATAAACCCACGTGGCAATCTCCGCCCGCCGACGGAGCCGACGCACTCCGTCGAAGCCTTCTCAACTGCTGCTGTCCTGAAGGGACTCCGGCCTCGGACAACCAGCAAACAGCCCTCTGCCATTGAGCCGGTCGTCCCGTCTCCTCCCGGTCAAACGCTCCTGCATCGCGGACTCGCAACACGCGTCACGAATGAGAACCAGGACCACGTCAGCAGGGAACCCCCTCCCTCGCTACCTGCATAGGCGGGCCACTGACTCGACCACGGTTAGTGTGGAGCCAACCAGGAGCTGGGCTGGAGCTGGTCAATAATACAGGTACTGTACTAGACAAGAGGCAAGCGGCAAGCGGAAGCGGAAGCGCCACAGTGGCAGAGGAGGCGGGGGACGCGAAGGACGCTACAGCGGAGGGTAACCGGAGGGGGGAGGGAGGGACGGGGTCGAGCGCAGAGAGCAGAGGAGGCAGGGGAGGTGGTTCTGTTGGCTGGCTGGCTGGCTTGGCTGGCGGGCTGCTCGCTTGCTCGGGACTCTGCAGGAGAGGGGACGAGAGGGAGAGGAGGAGGAGGAGGAGAAGGAGAAGAAAGGAAAGAGGGGGCGATCGGGGAGTGAGCGAGCGCAAGAGAGAAGAACTGGAGGCATTGAGATCGGACATCAGACAATAGAGACAGGCGCAGAGGTTCTCAGAGAGCGTCGGTTGCGAGTCTCGGAGCGAGGGCGCAGATTTTAGTAATAATTTGGTCAGCTATGGCGTACGGGGACGCTTCGTCATGGCTGCATGCCTTGCTCTACATCTCGCCCTACACGTTCTCTGCTCTGGGAATCGCCTTGTCAATCGGTGTCTCGGTTCTAGGCGCATCCTGGTAAATTTTCTCCCGCGATCTGTGACTGGGCTTTGATCCGCTTGCTCAGCTCAGCGTGCGTGAGCGTAGATCGTGGTTTTTACTGGTTGCTTGCTCCTGAGACTGAATTGCTCCCTTCAGGCTCAGGAGAGATGACCTTGCTTGTGGTGTTTTTTTTGGGTGTTACTGGAGATTAGGTTTGTCGATGGGTCGGTGTAAGTGATTTTAATTGCCAGTGGTTACTCTGATCCCGTTTCCTGACATTGCGGTATGTCTCTCCAGGGGAATATACATCACAGGAAGCAGTTTGATTGGCGCAGCTATCAAGGCTCCTCGCATTACGTCGAAGAATTTGATCAGGTGATTATGGTCTATCTAATTGGAAAGGCTGTTGCTCAGAATTACGAGATCAGAGAACTTGTGAGGTTCTGGATGAGTAGGTTTTAATTCTCCGGGGCTCAGAAATCCTTCCATATATCTGCATACTAGTTGAACAATTTCTGGATAACTTAGCACTAGTAATGCGGGAGCAGATCTACAACTCAAGTTTGTCGGTGGTTTTGCTAAGAGTGAGATCTCATATTTGGATGCAGTGTTATTTTCTGTGAGGCGGTGGCGATCTACGGAGTTATTGTGGCCATTATCCTTCAAACAAAATTGGAGAGCGTAGCCAGCAGCCAGCAGCACTATCCTGAATCTATGCGAGCTGGTTATGCCCTATTTGCTTCAGGCATCATCGTTGGTTTCGCCAATCTCGTCTGCGGGTATGTAGAAAAAGTCACCCATCTTCACATGTTAATAACGTTGAGATCTATTTGCTGTCCTGCTGTTGGCTCCATACTCTCCGTGTCTGTGACTGTTTTTCCACTTTTAATTTTCAATCAAAACATGCAGCTTTTGAAATCAAAAAACAGGAATTTTGTATAACCCGAGAATACCAGCTGAAAATACTTCAATGTACCTCGAACTTTTCTTTCCCAAGTATACGCACGTGAAGTAAGGAATGCCATCGTCTCCTTAGTTCCTGTCTGTAGCAGTGGTGTGACGAATTAAATATGTAACAGTGCGTTAACGCATAGAGCACAACATGAGTTCGTTCTCCCTCCTGCAGACAACCCTCCTGGCTGCTATGAATCTTTAGGTTATACTTTGGGAAGGAATTGTCGTTATTTTTGATGGTTTGAGTGTCCTGGGATTATGTCGAGAAACTCAGTCGATCGCATAGCGGTTGTCCTGTCTCTATAGTCTCTCATCCGATCCTTCTCATATGTCCTACAAATTTTTTTTCTCCAAAGGGATTTCTTCTTAAGAGGAAGGGGAAATGCTTTGATATACTACAGCTAAACTCTTCGAACTGTAGATTGAGAGTGAAATCTGGACTCTATTTATTTGCTACCTTTATTTCGACTCTGATTATGCTTAGAAGTGACGCCCCAGTATGTAAAACTCTACCATATTCCCGGAGATATAGTAACAGAGTTGCAATAATATAATCATTTTAATTTGCTTGTAAAAGTCAACTTCTTGAAATAGGCGAAATTAGAAAGCGGCCTGGAGGATTTGTACTTTTAGACGCTGTATTGTATCTTTACACTTCAGCGTGTTTAGTTTTCCTGTCTCTGCCACGTATTTTCTGTCATACTTCTTGTATTCGAACATTGGTTTCAATCTTGGAACGTTTACCTTAAATCTGAAAGCTTTGCGTACCTGGCTGTGATGTTTACAGATTATGCGTGGGCATCATCGGAAGCAGTTGTGCATTGTCAGATGCACAAAATTCCACGTTGTTTGTAAAGATTTTGGTCATTGAGATTTTTGGCAGTGCGCTTGGGCTTTTTGGTGTTATTGTGGGCATCATTATGTCGGCCCAAGCATCATGGCCAGCTGCACATATGTGAGGAGGACTTGATTATTATTTGTCTTTTATGTTCTGAAGTTTTTGAGGTGTATATTAGAGTGACCTGGACAAGTTGTCAGAAAAGGTTTGGCCAGTCACAGAGTTACCGGTACATTCTAAGAGATCCCTTGCGAAAGCATGAGATTATTTCGTGTAGAGAAGCTTCAAATAATGAGGCAAACTTCCACCTGTGGATGTGGAATATCACTCTTTAGTTTTGTAAGTGTGCTTTGTGATTTACTGTCCTGCCAACCCATTTGCAGCTGTCATGGGTAAGCTTGTCTAGGTGTACATTTTCCACGTTTCCAGGAAACTTGGGCTCCTTCGTATGTTGCCAGTTGGAGAAAGAAGTGATGTTTTGGACCATCTCTTTTCTAGTGAGAGATTCGTGTGAGATAATATTTTTATAGCGAGTGTCCTAGATATGGGCATGAATTTTGATCTACTCTCTGTACCAAGCTTAAGCAAGTTATCCTCTAAAGTGATTAAAATGTCATCTGTGCAGTATCTTCCTTCCTCCTGCAAAGAAGTACCGCACACATGGCTACCTGAAAGCAATTTTTTCCCCCCTACAAGTACATCGTGATGTATATTCTTTTGCATTCGGTCCACTTGTCATCATAGAGAGCTCCGAAAACTGGAAATGAATGAAAGCTGAAAGTGAATGAAAGGAAGCCATGCGAGAAGGAAAGAATATCGATTGCCACCACACCGTGTTGGAAATGTAGGTCTTTCATGTTATTTTGAGTAATTAGCCCATGGTGTGTTATTCCGGTAACTATTCTCCGATGACACTTTGGCAAGTATGAGAGAATCTGGATCAAATTTGGCAACTGAGAGGGCCCACACTTTGAGAGAATCTGGACAAGGCAAAATTCCAACACAATAGTTTGCACCTTGACAAACAATTTGAAGTTCATTACACGATACTTTTTATCCCAACAGACAAATGCATGAAAGCACATTAGTCTGAATTCCAAGCACAAACTGGAAAAGAATGTTGTGTTTATTCGTAGACGCAACTGTCCAGAGGAACAATCATCAGCACCTCGCAACCCCAAATTCATGTGATTTATCTCACACGACTGCTTTCACTAGTTCTCAGGTCTTTCTCCGTTTGCCATGTCAGTATTGAAGTACTGACAAGAACTCTCCGAGCCAACTTGCCTATTCCCTATCTATACAAGAACGGACTTAACCCCAGGTCAAAACTTGCCACACCTTATCAGATTGACTACCGTCCATGACAGTCTTCCTATGGTAAGCCGACACAGTGATCGTTTACCTCAGCAGACCGAATATACTCATCAGTTGATACTGATAAATATACGATTGTATTCATAGAGCCAATCAAGCGCAGGCAATGTAGAAACGCATATCTGGTCTGAAGCTGTTGCAACTTCATGTTTTTACTCGGAGTAATAGTCATGACGAGTCCCTCAACACGATACGAAATGAGAGATCCGCATGCGCAGAGTGCACTGAAAAATTTCTTTCAAAGGTCCTACCACGAAGTGTAAAGTGGAGTTTCTATCAACCACTGACATGTGATCACTACTGTCGTCACCTTAAACTGCAAGTCTTCGGCGACCCTTTGCCTTCCTACGAGCTAGAACTCTGCGTCCACCAACAGTTTCTTTCCTGCACGAGAAACACGAGCAAGTTTATTGCATGCTGCGAATCGCATTTAACATTTTTGTGACCCACCAAGAAAAATTCTTTTCTCAAGGACATCTAGTGCTAAATCATGTGGAATCGATGAAGATTAAGGTGCAACGATTATCATAGCAATCATGGGGACTCCTAAATGGATTGTAATTATGAACATGATACAGACCTCTAACATGAACAATGGATTAACCGCCAAAAGGTGGGCAGAAAATATAAAAAGCGGAAGTTATCGAGTAGATGAAAAAGACTTCTTTGGGTTCAAAGAAGAACTGAATGCAGATAGAAATACGTTGATATTATTGTAATCCTTCACATTGTAACTGAGCAATTTACTTCAAACAAACTTCGGGCATAACCGATCCTCGGCAGTGCTCCTACAACTAGACAGGTTTACCTTGCCAGAAAACCATGAGTTCTCTTCCGTTTCAAATTACTTGGTTGATAAGTGCGCTTCGTGTGGGCTTGAATGGGGCTGCGTACATCACAGAACACATATCAAGGGACGAGATTCTTCGACGACATTGCATATGCTGCAGCCGGATTTTCAGAACTGTCAGGGAGATACAACCCTAGAAATTGAAAACACTGCCATGACCAATGACGACGAGAAAACAAGGAGTTCCTGAGCTTGCAGGGTATTAATGTACTGGACTAAGGGTATATAAAACATATATATTCGCTTCAGAAGCTTTAGGATATTGAGTACACATATGTACCATGGTGAAACCCTTCGACAGCAGTTTTAAAAAATTGTCAGAAGCATTGATCAGAGCATAGACCAATTCAGCCAAGAAAAAAGCAACGTTATATCGTGTAGGGAAAAGATGTTACCTCTCAGATTCCTCTAGACCTGGGCACAAGGCTGCAACAGAGAAAATATCTCCATCAGTCTGACTCTCAAATCGATGAATTGTAAATCAAGCAGAAGGTAATCTTCGTGAGACAACTCTAATCGATAAATTGACTGATGGTGAAATCATTGTAGCAGAATGAAATTCCACACAGAGGACACTTGAGATCAAAACCAACCATCATCAATCGCGCGGGGATCGACAGGCCAGCCAGCAGGGCTGATCGAGGCGAGGATCTCGTCTCCGCCACCCAATCTCAGCAACTCTTCACCGGAGCCCAAATGCACTGGATCGGGACGAAACCAAAAAAGCTGCGAAGCAAAAGTTCTAGGCTGCAACACTCTCGCCTTCTCTGGCGACGAAAAAAAAACAGAAGGAATGCCGCAATTCCCAATCTCTTCAACCACATTTCTGCTGCCAGACAAGTGCCGAACACCCTGCCCAAATCCGCCGCTACTCCTCGCATTCGCCACGACCTGTCGCCCGCAGCCACGCCAAGCCCTGCAAATCGCTGCCGCTGCCATCTCTGCTCTCCGAGCTCACCCCAATTTCCTAACCCCGTGCGAATTGCAAAGCAAAGGCGAATAGAGGCACTCTCTTCGGTGGTCCCCCACTCTGTTCGTCGTGTATTGCATTCCTCGATTACAGTACACCGCGGGGTTAAACGTTCCTTCCTTCGCTCCGTAGGAGTGAGGTCCGGCGATTCGTATGTATCGTGGAGATTTTCTTCTATACGGTCTTCTCCAGTGTAGGGGTACGGCTACTTTGGCCCACTGTTCAGTCATTCAGGTGCGACTGGTTGAGCCTTGGAAGGCGTTCCCTTGTTTAGGGAGCGCCAATCACAACGCCGGATGAGCCGCCAAATATGGCGGCGAATGAAGCAGGCGCGCTCGCGATGGTGGGAGACCTAGAATGCATGAGGACTGCAGCGTACCAAGTGTATACGTACAGGATGGTATCCGTCGACTCGGTGAGGGAGGATTGGTCTGTGCTCAAGGCTCGAGAGTTGGTGATTCTGTCGCTCGAATAGCGAATTGCGATTTCCAGCGCAGGAAGGGAAGGGAAGGGAAGGGAAGGAAGCGCAAGGGGCTGGCTTCTTGACCGAGAGGGGAGGAGCTATGGCGTCCACTGCGAGCGCCACCGCTGTGCTTGCGAGGAGGAGCTTCTGCTCGGCGTCACCGTGCGCGCGGCTCGCGGTTTCGCTGGGGTCCGCGCAGAGATCGTCCTCGTGTGCAGCGTCGAATTGCCGTCGCAGCTTTGTGAGCTGGTCTTGGCCGCGTGTGGCGGTGGCCTCTCGGAGCGTGCCGAGAGGGAATTTCATCTTCCTGAGCGAAAATGTGGCTTCTGTGCGTGGAATTCATGGCGCACAGGCCGGTCGTCGAGGAGCTGCGGTCATGGCTTCTTCGTCTTCTTCTTCTGCCAGTCCTGTGGGGACCATCGTCTCGGAGCCGTCTACCCCCGTCGACAATTCTTCTGCAGGTAGGCAGTGAACACAATGCTACAATGCTTGGAAGTAAAGGATTTGGGAAGTTGTCGGTTTTCCAAGTTAATTAAATTGGCTTTCGTCTTTACCTTTCGTCGTTTGTATGCAGCAGATTTCGACTTTGAGTTTGAGGTTCTCTGCAAGCGTTCATTGTCATTTGCACTTGTACAATTCTCTACAATTGCGCTACACCTTCCGTTCGACTTCGTTGCCCAGTGGCTTTACGTGGGTTTAGCCAAAGACGCAATTTTCTGGCTGCCGGGGTTTTGGGGATACCTGTAATTACATTTTCGTCTCTCGATAATCGACATTTAAATGACCTTGGTCGTGGAGCTATTAGTGCTACATTCGTTTCTTACTCAGTGAGATATGAGCAGGAGATTCGGTGGAACCTTTAACATGGCGTGCAAGCATCGACTTCAAAGGAATACGAGAAAATAAGGAAGCAATTGCTGCGAACATTATCAACCGAAAGTCTACCGGCGACGTTGAGCTTGTGGTGGAATTGTACGAGCAGTCGGTTCGTTTAAGCATGGTATGCGGGACTTTGCCCTTCAAGTAGAGTATTGCTGGATGATTAGACCGATTCTAGGTGCTGTTACTCAGGGTTTCTCGTGCCCATCGAAGCTGCGATAGCTTTTGATTCTTGAACTAGTTTTGCAGGAAGTTGATAAACTGCGAGCGGAGAGAAACGCAGTCGCAAGTGCCATGAAAGGAAAGCTCGAACAAGCCAAGAGGCAAGAGCTTATCACCCAAGGTAGGCACTTTCATCTGTCTTTATTCTCGTAGAACTTGCACTAGGCTCGAGGCACTAGAATTTGCTGTTGTTACCGCAGCAGCGCTTTTGACTCCTGAACTAGGTTAGTCGCAGTGCATGGAAGGAGCTTCACACTAAGAAGGTTCTTTATTTTCAGGAAAAGAGCTGAAGGAGCGTCTAGCAGGCCTGGAAGTGTCTCTGGCTCAGCTGTCAGATAAGCTTCAGAGAGAGGGGCAACGGATCCCGAATATGACCCACCCAAGCGTGCCTATAGGTTCTGAAGATGTCGCTACTGTGCGTAAGCAGGTAAGTACAAGACAATTGCAAAAATCTTAGATTCCAAAATGAGGAAATTCATACGTAAACGTGGAGGATGTTCGTCTTCTATTTCACATGAAGGTCGTGTGATTTTTCCAGGACGCAAACGTCTAACGACCGTAAAATCTGTCAGGTTGGTGAAAAACCAGTATTCACGTTCCCTGTGAAAACCCACGTCGATCTTGGTCAAGATCTTGACCTCTTGGACTTTGAGTCTGCCGCAGAGGTAATGAGCTAACTCCTTCTGTGGATTGCGGTCTCTGGAAACACGCAGATTTTCATATAAGTTCTGAATTGCAAGCACCTTTCTTTTAATAAATATTAAAAACAAGTACTTGTGTGCAGGTGAGCGGAAACAAGTTTTACTATCTGAAAAATGAAGCTGTGCTACTAGAAATGGCACTGATAAATTGGACGCTTTCGGAATTGATAAAGAGGGGTTTCACACCTTTGACCACCCCAGATCTTGTGCGCTCTTCTGTTGTTGAGAAATGCGGATTTCAGCCCAGAGGCCAAAACACTCAGGTTGGTTTTCCTAGTGACTGTCTCGTTAAGTTTTGTTCATACATTTCTGCACGCTCTTTTGGCATTGCTCTCAAGACACAGCTGTTGGTACACATCCTAAAGCACCTGGCTTACAGGTCTATTCTGTGGAAGATACAGATCTCTGCCTTGCAGGGACAGCCGAGATTCCAGTAGGTGGAATGTACATGGATAGCATGCTCACAGAAGCATCGCTACCGTTGAGAATTGTAGCGTTTTCTCATTGCTTCCGAACGGAAGCTGGGGCCGCGGGTGCAGCGACAAGGTCACACTCTTAGAAACTCTCCATTTCCTTGGCTTATGGATTCATTTAGACCAGTTACTGATTTTACTAACCACATGATCAGTTATGTCTGTAGAAAAAGTCGCAATGACTTAAAACCCCTCAATGTCCATTGTTGCAAATAGTTTTTAAAGCAGTGTAGAAACAACTAGCCGGTTACTTCTCACGGAATTGTTGATTGGTCCTGAATTTGATGAATCGGGCACAGGGGCTGATGTGCAGAGGTCTTTATCGGGTCCATCAATTCAGCAAGTTGGAGATGTTCGCGATATGTCAACCCGAAGATAGTGAAGCTCTTCACGAAGAGCTCATATCGATCGAAGAGGAGCTATATACTTCTTTAGGCCTGCATTTTAAGTGAGTCACACGCTTGCTATACAGTGGTTTTTAAATCCGCTGGTTAAATATATCTGAGTGTCCCCTGTTTTGACACATATCTGTCCACTTTGCAGGACCCTCGACATGTCATCTGAGGATCTTGGAGCTCCTGCCTACAGGAAATACGACGTCGAGGCCTGGATGCCGGGTTTGGATCGGTACGGTGAGGTAAGTTAAGAGGATATGCTGTTATGAGATTCCCAGAGGGACTGTCGAGTAGGAGCACCCGTTAATATGAGGAGTTTATGGAAAGTCTTTGCTGTATAAGACTATATATTTCATCGGATTTCCCGCATCGACTCAGCACCTATTCTCTAACATGAGATCTTTGGATTGTGTAGGTGTCAAGTGCATCCAATTGCACTGATTATCAAAGCCGCCGCTTGAATATTCGTTATCGTCCCGAGCATAATATGATGAGAGACGGGCCGAAAACTAAAATGCCTGCTCCTGTCTTTGCCCACACACTAAACGCCACAGCCTGTGCGGTTCCTCGGATGATCATTGCAATCTTAGAAAACTTTCAACAAGCTGATGGATCAGTCGTAATACCCGAGCCTCTTAGGCCTTTTATGGGGGGCATGGAGGTTATAGCCTCAAAAGCAAAGAAATGATGTAGTCTTTTTCGTGCATCAGTTCCAGGTATGAAAATTCTCGGTAAGCTGTCTCGAGTTACCTCGAGCCCATTCTTTGTCATAGAACCATCTCTCGTAGGAAACTTCGATGAATCCTCAACCGATGTATTGTACACATATTGATTATTGTTCTCAGTCCTCATATTTCAAGAGAAAAATAAAACCTTCTGAAGAAAGCGATAATTTATCATTCTATTATCTCCTTGAAGGAATTACAGATTAAAAGTATTGCATGAATTATAGCCTACTTCTAGTGTCCATCAACTGCGTCAAATCTGGAACTTCCATATGAACGGAAGGCTGGCCAGAGTTAAGTAGGAAAATGAGAATTATTTGGAGGAGAAAAATACATGTACAAAACCCATCAACTTGGAAGTGAAGAGGTGAGCTAAATGTAACCGACGTGAAAGCCTCGGTGCCCACCGACCTTGGCAAGTTTCTTTACCAAGAGTGTGACCCGTGTACATGATGCACGAGTACAGGAGGCGAAGTCAAATCATTAGTCCAAAGGACATTCAAAGCTAGACGATTTGTCTTCAACAATTGAGTTGACTGTCAATCGTCTTCTTAATATGAGTGAGTGTGAAGAAGTTGCATGCATAGTGCGATTTGACCATCAATCGAGTGGACTGTCTGCGACCTCAGCACTATCGAAGTCTTGAAAATCACAAATTTGGTGATTTCCTTGGGTTTCAGAATCTCACACTGGAAATGCGTACTGCAGGAAGTTTGTCTTTCCTGGACCGAAACCATATCCGGTATTTGACTGAACTGTTGAAGTTAGACTTCTGGGAGGTCTCCCTCTTCTTCACAAGAGAAAGAAGCTTTCCTCGTCAAAGATTTTAGGTGTCAAACGTTATTAGCGTTCGTTCCGCCGTATCTGCTTTCATTCACAACATTGCAATCTTCAACCTCTGGAGCCATTGATGTTGAAGAATGAAATAGAACCTTCTCACCTTTGGGGTTCCTTCTTCTTAACAGAGGAATTCGCCTCTGTCTGAGTCCATCTTTCTCCCGTGGTTCACTTTCGACATGAAGATCGTCCTGATTCAAAATCTTCTGAATCTCTCTTGTGCCCCAGCTCGAAAATATCACAATGGAAGTCGCGTGCGGATCTGATCATGGGCATCTGCCACACCCGATTAAAACTGCAGGAATCAACGCGAATGGAATTGCTGCCATCTCGGCGCCTCTGTTTCATAGAACGTCATTATGTAGGATACTTTTCACCCCAAAATATAACTCATTTGCCGCAATCGCACCCACACTCTTTACATCGTTCATCGACCACGTCCACGCACCCACATATCTCCAACGTTTTTCGTCTGCCGGCAACCTCACGCAAGCCGCTGCTGTCTCCCGAATTCTACTACTTCCGACCAGCATCCCGAGCAACACACACCAGCTAAATGAACTTGCGTTGATGAAAGCTGATTACGTAGAGATGGAGTCTCCATTTTGACCCACGATTCCAGACCTACGTGCCCGCAGATCGTAAGGATTTGTATGTTGACATACTTTCACGATGTCCGATCATCCGATCCTGTCTCAAATCCGCTCCCCTCCCACCAAAATCCTTTTTCTATGACTAGTGATTATCTCAACAGATAATTGACTCTCGAACCTCTCTGAGTCTGGCTGTGAGGTGGCTGAAGATGGAAGCTCGAAGCCTAGCAGCCCCGCACTTTCGTTCATCGCCAGGTCCTCTTGCTGTTTATTAGCTTCTGCGACGAAGCGTGTAGACGTACAAGAATGTGTGATTCCCGGTTTGACCGGTAACCGAGAACCGGACGCCGTCGGCCCCATGCAGTCAGCGGGATGCGTGCCTACGTAATTCCCACGTGGATTTGTCCTCCAGCCTCCGGCTATGCAGCCTACCTCGACGATCACTTTTTCTTGACTTCCCTCTGGATTATCCCCCATTAAATATCCAACGAAGCTCCAAAATTATCTCATGGTAAAACCATTGTGAATTTGACCACTTTGTGAATAGAGTTACCTTGAACTAGAATACAGTAGATGATTGAGTTACCTTAATCTAGAACACAGTAATTGATTAAGCTTCTACTGGATGGGTTATTACTAATAAGTTATTAGTAATAGCCCATCCAGATTTCTGTATTTAGAGACTAATAACTTATTAGTCTCAAAATACAGAAATCTATAAATAGATTCCATACTTCTATAATTTTTCACTATTCAAATTTCGTGTTTCAAAATATATATGAATATGTATTTATCATTTATAAACAAAAATTTATATATTTCTTCAACGAAACGAAACCTAGAGATTGTTAAATTATCACTTTGTAGATTTGCAACGCAGTTTAAGGTTCTTAAACAAGTATTTAGGCTGAAACAGTGTCTGCAATATTACTCAATTTAGCTGCAAGTTTGGTCATTTGTTGCAATCCCTGGACTTCGTTTCAGCCTCAACTCTTCTTAAAGTATGGTCTTTGCATTGCATCTCGTGATACTCAATTATCCTAAATCGATCGATTTTGTGTATGTTCCAGACGTGAAAGATCCGCTAAAAGTTCATGTTAGCTATGGGAAATACATCTGTTATGCTCAAAGTGCATGCCACCTATACTCTCATTGCAGAATGATTTTTTTCTTAACGCTAAATCAAATTATGTGAATTTGTTCCAAAATATGTTCCAGTAACACCTAATATTTATTCGTCATTTGGATATATAATAAAAATTATAAAAAATTTAAAGAAGACATCATGAGTTTAATCTTGTATCAAATATAAGTAATCATGAATTTTAGCTGTTGATATAATGATATTATGCATGTTCAAATTGAATGATGCAAAATCTTATAAGGAAGAAGCAATGTATAGTAACAGTAGTGCACAAGGTTCAAATATTGATGTGGTACACACAAAAGAGAAAGATTCGGAAGCAATCACTCATAAAATTCATGTATATCTAAAATGAATGATAAGTATATCTGGAGTCAATGCCAATACAAATATATATTTTATTCATCAAGTGATCTACGATTTTAGAAACATTAAATTTATACTTAATTCAATTAATTTTGCGAAATTTTCTAGATTTTTATGTACATACATCATAAAAAAATTTGAGATTAGTCTTTTTTTACTTCAATGATGCATATTTTTTGCTGAAATTTAAATGATACACATAGCCCTTTCTAGAGGGTTATGTATGTTATGGGAAAGCACAGCTGACACTTGTTGTCAAGCATCAAGAGTGAATGAAGAAAGGAGACAATAATTCTTTTTATAAAAAATTCTTTAGTACTAAATTTTTAAATAGTCTTTCAATCTATAGCCCTTAATAAGATGAAGAAGTGCTAACGATTGAGATTCACATATTGTAGAGTCACTAGGAGAAAGTTGACACATGTTTATCAATGCTGAAATAAACTTCAAGAAAATCAACTTTAACAAAGTTGTTCATTGGGATATTAAATAAATTCTTTATTCATGTTTGTGTCTACATATGGATATTTTGGATTGCATAAATCCAAAGCGAAGACAAAAGGCTAGATGATATTGTACTGAATCAACTCTTCCAAAAGCATGTTCTCTTAAGATCTGAGCAAGACAATTTTCTCCCTATATTTTGATAAACTTTGTTTCAAACTGTTGTTTCCATGCTCTATATTTAACTTAAAAACTGAAAGAGATATTACCAGTTGATACTACTATGTAACGTCAAAACACTCAAGTGACAGGAAATACCTTAGACACACAATATAACGTGGTTCACCCTCGGGAAGAGAGTTACGTCCACCAAGAACACGAGCACCTTTACTTCAGATCTTGTCACGAAAAGACTATGTCCTAGTTATAAATAATTATAACCCAAGGTTTCTCTTCAACTGAAGTTAACCTCAACATACTCATGCAATACAAGTCAAATAAAGCAAAACAAATGATGTTATGAAATATGACTTCTGATTTTCATAGAAAGTAGACATATTATATATATGTGATATATATATATATATATATATAATTTATAAACATTGAAAGTTTAAAAAGTGATGTCCACCTGACTTGTTAATGTCTTAGATATTGAATAATTTGTTGAATTGATTGTTATGAAACTTTATAAGGCATAAATCCCTTGCCTAGCATCTTAAAAATATTGCGTGTGGACGGAATGGATTATATAGCGAGAAATATGGAGCTCCCAGCAAACCGTACATGGACAAAATCAAGTGGATAGGATGGTTCTAGATCCAATATGATCGTAATGGGAAAAAAGTCATATCTCAAATAACTATAGGAACCAGGCACACTCTTAGAGAATCCAAAAAATCATCACGTGAGATTATGATTCGTGCCAGCATGTGCTTTGCAAAGAGTAATGAATCATACTAGAGTAACTTTTGTGAATCATAAAGTACCTTCTAACTCCAATAAACCTTCACTGGGCTGGCTTGACAAACACTCTCATGATTTGATTTCGACATAGACGCATATTTACGACAGAGACCCGACATACACATATTTTATGCACCATCATAGATCTTCATCTCCATCAGATCAGCATCGATGACATTTCGACCTCATGTTTATCGTGTGCCGTTGCTTCTTTTTGGGCTTTGGCTCTCGCTTTGCGACTCGCGACTTATATTCCATGCGTCTCCCTCCAACGCAGCACATCTACACGTCACCAGGATTAGGGTGGTGGCAATTTACAACACAAGTGAAGATGAAGTTACCTTTTTCCTGCAAGTAGTTGTACCCGCTGGATATAAGAATCGACCTCTGTACACATATATATAAAAAGAATATCTCCATGAATCCAGTGCGGGCTCGATCTATTGACTTAAAAGATCAACGTTATTCCTCGTAATCGGACTGCTCGCGTATTCTCCAGCAGATTTGTCTGCCGGTCCGAATGGAAACCTGCAGTCTGCGACAGCAAACTGCTGTGGTTGCCTTCCTTTGTTTTCTTCGCCTGGACTAGGCTGTCAGAGCCTGCCAATAATTGGCCCACTAACGAACCGGACTACGTAGTCAGGCCGTCACATGCCGCGCACATGGTTTTCAAGACCGGCGAGCACCGTCCTACCGCAGTCAAGATCGCAGTCCGAGACCGGCTGCGATGTGGCGGAAGCCGCCGACCACGAGCTCTCTCTAGAAGCTGTCCGCTTGTCTGCTGACAGAACGGGAGTCGGTAGGCCGGATTAGGTGACGATGATCGACATACGGCGCACTCGGCGATCGGAGACAAGAAAGTAGTGTACGGGAGAATCGTACACGAGAGTCAAGCGACTGCCTTGAGAGATGCGCTCGTAAAAGTGGGGGCTTGCCATGAAGCGATTTGGGTCGTATTTTCTCATGGTGTTTCATTGGAGCTATAAAGATGGTGATGTACCTGCCCATCGAGAAGGACCTCGTGATTGAAGACGCGGAAGTCGTCCACAACTCGTCCGCGGCAGGGGAGGACGCTGAAATTAAAATCCGGGCCTCGAGGGCCGAACGCGCGAGTGGGGGCGCGGATCGCGGACCCGGCACGACTTCGATCTCCAGCGCGATGGATGCAGCGCCGAGTAGCGCTCGAGGAGCGGCACGTCGTCCTGTTGATCCAGAACAAGGTTTGGACCGATCTGCCATTCCGATTTTACAGAAGCGGAGAGGAATCGAGACTGGTTTTGGAGTCAGCTTACTACTGCTGATGATTACTTCGCCAACGCCCAGCTCGCCTTTGCGAAATCGTTTACTAAAACATGCTTGCATAAATCCGATCTTCTCCGACAATTGAGTGTTCTTCTTCTGTGAAGATTTTCCTATCAGTCTACGTATACCAGTGAGAGTGGTTTAAGGTGCGCTGTGAGCGGAATTTTAGTTCCGAGAGAGCTTGGCTTCCTGTTAATGCAATGAGGGTAATCTCTACAACCGACGTAATCAAATTCCTTCCAGGTTACCAACGAGCATGAGATGAGAACTTGTCACGAACTTCTCTCTGCAAAGCCTACAGATTGCATGATCGTTCCATAACGCTTGACTCCGGTAATTAGTCACAGTTTGTAAGCTCGTCAAATGTCGCTTAGATGAGTTAAGACGTCTTCCAAGAGAAGATCATTCATAGTCGACTTAGTCTACTCGGGCTGTGGGAATTCATCTGGTACTTGTAAATTTTTTCATAGCGTTTTGAAGGTGTATCTTCACTTGAGACTTTGAAATTCTCTTCATTGATAGTACATTTAGATATATTTTCTTCATCGGTACAATCTTCAGGGCGCTCGATCTCTTGGGATCTTCATAGGTAGGTTCGTGTTCTTTGTCGGGTCTTCTTAAGGGGCTTCTCATGCTTAACGCTACTCTGGCGGGTCCTGTTTCTCCACTTTTACTCTATGGGGAGATTAACTTCGCACGTGTGCCTTTGATTACATGCTTACAGCTATTGTTCTACTTCGAACTTTGCCCCTTCTACAACAGCTACCAGAGGATTCTTTGCCAAAGATTGCGGCGGTGTTGAAGACTGTACACTACGGTAAATTGCCCAATTTCTTTGCAATCTATGGCCTTTTCTGATACTTGGAATAGCAGTTTCAGACAGTTCTTGCGTTGTCAGTCGGTATTGGTGATTAAAAATTCCGATCTTTGCCTATTTCTCGAAATGGCTGCTACCTTTATTTTCCTTTGATAAAGGCCCGTTCCTCAAGTTTTGCAAATAAATAATGTCTGTGTAATCTACTTTCCAAATTTTCGCAAAGATGGCATTTGTCTGTTGGGCTATTGCTCCTACACGCGTGACGTTTGTGAAGTCGGAAGTCGTAAATCACCTTAGTAAACACAGTACTATCTATCTACCATGTCCCCATTTCTCGTGCTACCTGGAACTTCCCTAAGACTCATGTGAACCCCGTGCTATGTGTTTGCAGCTACGTTTACTTTTCTTTGTACTTGAATGTCTATGCTCTTAGTGATGTATTGTTGGTCCGCTTCTGTAACATTTACCTTGAATTCTACTGAGAAACTTTCGTGATGAATAGGAAGGCAATTTCGTACACGCTAATGACGAAGAAATGTGATGTCCGCTGTACTTAGTAGAGCTGAAAATCGTTTTCACTTTACTCCGCAGTTCTGCATTTCAGTTGTAGGTGTCCGTGTGCATCTCACAAGATGATACGTACGAAAATAAGATCCAACTTTAACGTAGGAACTTTGTTTTTCCTAGGATTACCTCTTTAGTTGATTCTTCTCAAGATGTATGTGCTTTTTCTTCGTTCAGGGCGTGTTAAGAGGTCAATATGTACTTTTATTTTTTATCGTTTCATAGTACCCACACTTCAGAGGGTATCTTTTCCCCATATATTGAAATACCAGATATCGCTTTCGATATAACGTGGTCTGCTTGTTCAATGTTTCCCGAAAATCTTCTTTTAGACTTAGTTCTAGTTCGTTTATCAGTTTGGTACGTTCTTCGCTGTTGATCTGTATCTGCGTCGTGGAAACAGGCCCTGGTGAACCAATTGTGCAAATTAACCATGAAGGTGAAGGGTTGTACATCATCTGGAAAGGAGAGGTAAGCTGTTGACAAGATATTTTTTTCGTATCAACTGAACTCGATAACATGCCGTATACATGTTTGAATGTTTGAACTTAGCTTTGGAATTTTGACACTTCGATACTTTTGTTTTTTTTTTTATTTCTCATGATGCTGTCAGACATAGACATGGTTATGTATGTTAAGCTCTTGGGTACCTTGAAGCTTCAGTAACTCGACTAATTTAAATAAGGGCAGGTCAAAGTTGCTTCGCCACCTAGAGAAAATGCTACAGGTCATGTCGTTTCCACCATGAGATCCGGCGATTACTTCGGATTAGGTGAGCCCTCTTTACATGTTTCAGTGCTTTTAATCCACCTTACGTTTTAGATTCGAAACTTATGCGCTGGATGCGGACCAGACCGACTGAAAGTAGGCTTCAGATTGACGTGAGCGAATTTTATGATAGCTTACATCAATTTACTAATGGTCGTTCATATCTGCACACGTTCTGATAGTTGTATGGATGTTCTGTGTTGCATGTCTTAGAAATTAACTGAAGATCCATATTTACTTTCTTATGTTTGCAGCCACTCCAGGACCTGCAAGGGAGTTGTACAGAGCAGATGTGATTGCCATCACTGAGGTAAAGGCTGTACCCTCGAAAGTAGATGTTAACAAGGATACTGAGGTGATATAATCTGGAAGAGACAGAAATTATCCAGAAGGAATGTCATCTTGGCAATATCATTTTCAAGAGGATATTTATATTTTTTTGGGGGAATGAGTCCAATATCAGATATTTGTTTAACCACTTTATTTTCTTCCACATTTTGCATTTCCGGAAATTGAGAAGAATCCAAAAATAATATCAGAAAATGTCAGTCGTATTTTTAATCTGCAGTATAGAAAGTTTCGAATACTGGTGATACAGTGGATGATATGATGATGGAGATGTTCGTGAAGAATGAATAAACGTAGTAAGGATAGAACGCATCAACGGAAGCCATGGTACTTGAATTGCTTCAAACAAGGAACATCGAAAAGTGGATCAGAGAAAAATGATTTTCAGGACCATTGCTCCCGAACTATCAATCACATTGAATGTAAACAGGAAGTGCTCCGATTGAATTAGAAGTAACCAGAGTTTGTCAACTCTGGGAGCAAGGTACAACGAGTGTTGTATAAGTTCCTGTAACCTGTCTATTGGTATCATTTTGTCGAAGCATCCTAGACTTGAGAAAGAATATCCTGCCGGTCGTTACAGCACACCTTCACAGAGCTTCAAACTTGTTTTCTGCATTGTTTCCCTACAGGTAACCTGCTTGCTGCTCACCCATGACTATGCGGATATGCTATCGGGCGCGTCCATTTGGAATTGGCCCAAACAGTCTGTTGAAGGAGAACAAGCCCTACTGGAACGCATTCTGCTTTTGGAGAAAGTAGAGGTAAGTGGTCACTATTTTTTGTTGAACGAAAATAATCGAGAGCTTGAGGATATTTAAATAATCGATTTTTTTAAGCAGAAGGCCTATGGTCTGCTTAACTTCTACCAATGTGCGGACAATCGATGGGAGCTTATTAAGATCGTGAATTGGATGCTCATGAACGATTTTTTCTGAATTTGTGATATTTGAAGAAGTCAATCTGATACGCACAAATGTGCGCTTACCTTCACTCAAGGTAAGGGAGATTTTGTTGTCAATAATTTGCACCCGTCTATGTGGTCTTGAATCTTTCGTGAATAGTGCTCGGTGGTACCTTCCTGTCTGCAGGATAATGTATTTAGGACTAATCTCCCACAACTTTACCGAAATCCAAGGAAGAATCCGAACATATTTGGCGGCCAGTCCATTGCTCAGGTATTTTCTTTTACCAGATTGTACTCACTTGGCTACACTGGAGATCAGATGTATATTACGATTTACTCTCCAATTCCGGTTGAAGTGTGTGATTAGGCGTTTTTTCTTATGGACTATTTCCTTGACACTCTGTCCTCTTGCTTGATAGTCAATTTATTACTTGTATCCGGCCTATTGCTCAGCCCATGACCTGCCGGAAATCTCATCTGCAATCTTACTGTCAAATATTCTTGAATCACAGGCTTTACATGCTGCTTGCCGGACGGTCAAGCCAGGATACGCAGTTCACAGTCTCCATTCTTATTTTCTTCGGACGGGAAAGGAAGATGGTCCCTACAGATGCCTTTTTCCATCTTTTTTATACACTTGTGAATTTGTCAATGAACGTTTGTGAGAACGAGTCAATGAACGTCGTGAGAATGTCAAGCGCAGATGTATCCACATGTGTGTCTAGGCAGTAAGATTTGCCGGTTTTCAGGGAACATGTGCTTTGTTCGGAATGGCCTCAATAGTCCAGGCTAATGCCCTTGAGTTGGCGTGGTTGCAGTTGAAACTTTCTATGAGGTTCAAAGGACTCGTGATGGAATGTCATTTGCCACGAGACATGTGCAGGCCCTTCAATTAGGCAGAGTCACTTTTGTGTTGTATGCTTCATTCAAGGTGATTCAAGATCGTCAGACTTAATTCCAAGTGGAGCGAGAGTTGCTATGAACATATTCATTGTCTCTAGTGTCCATGGGAAAGTGACAAGAGAATATAACCGTCCAAGCGTGTCCAAGTCAAGATGAACACAATGAAGTTCTCCTTCATATCCTATGTCACCATCAGAAGAAAAATTTGTGTTGCAAAAATTGGAAATACAATCACAAACTTCTCGGCGAAGTGAAGAATCATCCTAAATAAAAATGGGTTGACAAATGGAAGATTTGGAGCACAATTATGTTTCCTGTTTACTCTTTATTACATATGTTAACTTGCTGATTGGGTTAGTAATGTACGTTTCTTGAAGTGGTTTATTTTTGCACTTCGCCCTAACTAATTTATCACAGCTTCCAACAATTTCTCACTCCAGAAAGGGCGTTGTTGCAGAGACCTGAGGATTCTCAAGCTTATGAGCACAATACCAATCCTGTGCCAAGTACTCCAAATCCGGAAGAGGTAGATAACTTTTACATAGTATGGTTTATGCGGGAGTCGATTTGATGTTTCTTCCACTGTAAAATTTTCAACCTACCCGTTTACTTGGTTGTTGTATATTTTCCAACATATACAAATAGATTTTGCGTAAAGTTCATCATTGGAGCAGAAAACATACGCACCATATCTTCTTTTCATGTAACAGAATAGATCTGGCGATATCAGCCGGTGGAGCAAGAGTTATAGACTTCTTTAGTCGTAATGACATTATTAGTTTAGGTGGAGAGAAGTTGTTACAATTTCATAAATTCATATCAGCTTTTTATAAAAACAAAAAGGGGCTTTAGCCTGTGCAAAAGTGTCATGGCTAAATTTGGCTGTATGCGGGAAAGTCCTAAAGACTTGAGTACTAGAGTTTCATGACCTGCGTATGAAACAAGTAGACAAAGACAATTAAGATCTCATTTCTTTCCAAATTTTATACAAATTATGTACTTTTTTTTTGTTTAGCAATTTGGGTTTTATTGTTGAAACAACTCTCGAACCTTACGTAGATACAATTTTACTTGGCTTGACGGGGAGTTTGTACAGGGCTGAAGTAACTCTCGTGCCGTATGTTTATGCTTGGTGATTTCTAGGTTGCGATGGATGAGGTGGTTTATGATACCTTCCTTACGGATCCCCGTCTTCCCTTGTAAGAACCTTCATCGCATGTACTCTTTGGTGTAATATTTTTTAATTCTAACATGCAGCGCTCTGCCAGTTTACGGGTTTCATGGTTCTCAGGCTAAACATGCACGTATAAATGAGTACCTATATTTCTCCTTCGAAATCAATTTTCTGGTTATATGACCTTATGATTGCATAGTTTTATTTTTTGGCTTCTTCTTTAAATATGCTTGCAGAATTTATAATATTAGATTGGTTGTTTATGAACTATCTGTTGCTTAACAATCGAAATTTCTCTTGCAAACGACTATAGGTGTACCAGCCGATTACGAAGCACTTATCCCTAGTATTCTTTAGTACTAGTCTATGTCACGCTAAATTCCATCTACATGATGAAAGGAAGTTGGGCGAATTAACTACCTCAGTTATCTTACAAATTTTCTCAAGATTTTTTCTCACTTAACGCTTCATTACAGATCAGTCAAACAAAAGTATGCTGGAATCAAGCTTCCAGTCTCACCACTTGAAATCCGGCTATGTGATGCTGGTGATAAGTTTCAACGGGTGAAAATGCAGCCAAGGTTACCTCCTCTCTATTATCACTTGTATTTGGGGCACACAACACATTTACACTCTCCAGGGGGGCACCCACGCGCCGTAACTGCTTAACAGGGAAACAAATATGAAGTAAAGTGGGAGGCTGCTTTTTGAGTTTTGCTTCTTCACATTCTAAGTTTTTGGATGCGTGAGAGTCTTGTATTGGAGAATTTTATTGTAATTGACTTTGTAATATTCGTGTCTTATCTACTTGTGTTTGGCACGTTACTTTTGCAGACAGAGAGTGTGGTTCAAAACAAGGGGCAAACTCTCAGATGATCCTATCGTGCATTGGTATGACTTTCTTCTTTGTTCCTATCATATGTGCCTCATCTGAAACGAAAAATATCCCTGTGTGTAGTTGCCGCTAAACCGTGTGGATCTACATTAAGTTGGACATTGGCAGCTGTGTCTCTTGTGGATGTAAATGCGCGTATGAATATGGTGAATTTAAAATATTTCACTTTCAAATACTCTGCTACAGAGGTTTTTAGCTCGAATCATTGTAGATTTTAGCCGCTTACAAAAAGACTCTCATCATCTCATTCGGCTATTTCAGTTATATTTCGCTGACATCCCCAGACTTTCTCAAAACGGAGAATGCAATGCCATGTTTCTCAGCCGCGGAAATATGAAGTCAAGTCAACAGGATTGATTCTCATCTATAGAGAATACTACATGCGAAGGTCTTTTACAGTACGTCATGTGATATGTAGATTAGGCTTTCTAGCTTCTTCTTGGACGAACTTTAATCAACATTTGATTTTGCAGGTGTGCTCTGGCGTATGCTTCTGATATGCATCTGCTTGAAACATCCTTACGATGTCATCCGGATTACCTGCGATCACGGATGCAAATACTGAGTCTTGACCATTCGTGAGTAGTCTTTTTCTGAAGTTGTTGTGTCAATTTGCTCGTGAGCATTCAAGCTTGTGCCACTCTTCAGAACATTAGTATTTGTCTCGTGAATTATTCATGTTCTATCTTTTCACTTGGTTCGATCATACATCTTTCATTACAGGCCACGGATGCAAGTACTGAGTCTTGACCATTCGTGAGTAGTATTTTTTCGACGTTGTTTTGTCAATTTGCTCATGAGCATTCAAGCATGTGCCTTTCCTCAGAACATTAGTATTTATCTTGTGAAATTATTCATTCATGATAAGTTTTTCCCCGATGTTTTCTTGAATACCTTCTCATGAGCATTCAAGCAAGTGCTTGTCTTCATAAACTTAGTGTTGGTGTCGTCAAACCATCTATGCCTATCTTTTCACTTGGTGCAATATCACCAGGTGAAAAGATCGGTAGATGTTGTAGTCAGCTTCTACAGTATGCTGTAGAAGGTTCCGTCCACTCTTTTATAAGCTGATTATATTAGTACTTTGCTCTTAGATTATTTTGGGAGTACGTGACTATAAGTTTACTGAATTTGTCTTGACACTGGCAGGATGTGGTTTCACCGACCTTTCAAGGCTGATGATTGGCTTCTGTATGAGGTAGTACACCTGAGAATTATCATAAATTCTAGATTAACACTATCGATGTTACGATGTCAAGCTCATTGGTGCTGATCACTCACACTTTCTTCATCTTTTCTCATCGACAGATGGAAGCTCCATGGGCTGGTGATGCTCGTGGACTCTGCTTTGGAAGGATATATCAAAATGGAGAGGTACTGCTTTTGACTACAAAGTACTTTCTATGGGGTTGTCTTTCCGTTGAAGAACTGCTAGAGCGATCTTGGGTCTCAAAAGGGAAAAGCAAGAATATCTATATAAAAGAACGATACTCTATGTCAAAGTATCGTTTGAGTAGGCTTGCTGACCAATCATGCTTCAGAGTATGTCATAATACATAAGCCTGGAATTCAGAATTTACTCTATTTCAGTCTGATTTGAACTTGGAGCACGTTTATCAAAGTGGACAATCTAACTTCGTAGAAATCGTCTGCCTTTTGCAGTTGGTGGTGACGGTATCACAAGAAGGGATGATCAGGAAAATTGAAGACAAAATGCAGAAGGCGGCTAGACTTTAATTGTCATGTCTCTCGAGAAGGTAATTTAGACGTTCGACATGTGGGCTTGTACAATATTTTGTAGAGAAATCTAGATGAACATTCTCTCCGTCGACAAACTGGAAGGTTTCTTGATAGAAAAAAACGGTAGTAGACTGGCTTTCTGTCTTATAGCAGATAAATGACTGGAAAAAACATGTCATTGATTTGATTCACTGGAGTTCTTTAATCTCTGGAATCAGTATCATAGTCTCATTATTTTGTTGGTTTTACACCTTAGATTAGATTCAAGAAGCTTGAAGTAGCAGTGTAGTTCATTATTATGTGTAAATACCATTGCCGTTTTTTCAGAGAAGTAGTACGAGAAGCCAGTCGTCGCATAAGATATGTATCCCACATAGTTAAACTGAAATCTAAATTTGTTGTATTTTGTCGCAACTTCGTATTCGTTATTGGTTGGATGTTACGAATATTATGCACTTTCTACATAAATCAAAATTATCACAGGGACCGAAAGAGTTTTTAATCGCTGCGAGTCTCTTTAAAATTGTCCCATGAATTGGAGTGCGGAGGTTCCTTTTAACAGGATCTTACGCCCACATCACTCTACAGGCATTAGTAATAAGCATAATTAATCTGACTACCATAGCTACTGCTACGACGTGTAAAATTTGTTGATGCTATACAATGTCACCAATGACCCTACATCTGGTTACAGTTATGAACATGGTGTGTAGGTTACGAGACTTGAAAATTGATTCTCCGCACAAGTGTTTCGCCAGCTCTATATAATGTATGCAGAACCTCCTTGACTTGGACATGACTGGAATAAGTGTTTTGTTGATATTAAGACATAGATAATTAATTTACTTGTAACTTTTGTATGTTCATAAATAACGTAATCAAAGTACATATTCTCAAATTAATACTATGTACCTTTATTTCAAGTTCATTTGTGAGATATCTAAGTAAAAAAAGATTTGTCACTAACAATGTTTGTAATCTTTTTTATTTAACTTGACATTTAACTGTACTTCAAAACTTTAGACAGATTGATATAACGAATAAAATGAATATATGACAAATTTCTTCTGTCATTCTTTTGAGATCATGAAAAATTTAAAGAATCAATATGATTTGTTTAAAAAAATTCATAAAATAGTTTATTTTTTAAAAAAAATCTTTTCAATTTGTATTCATAGACAATAAAAGTTACTCATGAAATCTCAGTTTGACATATTTTATGCGATAAGATACAAGTTAATGTCTGCACTAACCAAATGAGTAGAACTTAAACTTTAACTTCGTATCTTATCAAACAATATAAAAGCCTAGACTTTATCCACTTGGTTAAATCTATGAATGTTTATTATTATTTTTCAACTTTCTTTATCTTGATTTGTAGTAGTGTTGTTACTTATACTTTATTTCAAGAAAAGAATTTCCATATCCAGTAAATATATCCAAATCTACAAGAGTGTTATCCTCATCATTTTATAAAAGGGGGAAAAACATTGAATGTAGTAAATATACAAATTGAAGAGAAGATTGTCCCCTATTTGAACAAATTTCTAGTTATTGAGCATCTCTTTTTATTGATTTATTGATTCCTATTTTCATTAAAACCTAAATAAAAAATATTGGAAAAAAAAACTATCTGATTTGGTTTATTGTCAGAAAATTCCGTTTGGGTTACTTTATAAAAATATGAAATTTCTATCAATCTTTAGAGAAATTTTTTAATTAAAACGTAAATTACAAGAGGAATTAAATTGATATTTTTTATAATCATCTTAAACAACAATAATAAGAATTTAAATATTCCAATTTTAAAAATTAACAATTATAATGTATAACATAATTTTAATTAAAAACTGAATAGAATATGTTCAAAATTCTATGTTATACAATATGTCTTAAAAGGTTTAACAAATTTACCATCTCTTTGTGCACTTACCACTTGTACAGTACTTGTCTTGTGCAATAAAGTATGGCAACAGTTACATACACAACTTCACCAAACCCTTCTAATTCAGTTCGTTGTGTTCATAAGAGAAGACAAGAATGGCTTCAGTCCAGAAAATAGCCGTCCGGAGTCCTGTGATCCAATGCTTCATTTCGCGAACAAATCATTGTTCTACTGTGGTGCACTTTCAGAAATTTGGGGACTCTAGAATTACGTCATCATGTGAATGAACCGGTCTGAGTGCGATCTACTTCTCGAACTTTCAGGATGTCAAATTCTTGCATCTTTCCGGAAAGGGAAGATGTTCACATCTCACTTTCCATCTACTTCGATCTAAACCACCGAGCAGTGTAAAATGCAGACGCTCGACGGATCACGTTAATTCTCACCACGATTGAATATTCTCTCTCGGAGTCTTCTCTGAAAAGATTCTGATTGTCATTGACTTCATACGACCTTCATTCTGATAGAGTCGTCAAATCTACACCGAGTGGTCCTCGCCTTTGAACCTCCCCCTTCGTAGTTCTGTACCTCCGAAGCGTGGAAGGGGTTCCACGGGCCGAGACAATACAACCGACCGACGTTGACGAGAGGCGCTGAGGGTGGGGACGTGGTACGACGTGGCGTTGGGGCAGCGTTTGGAGCGAGGGGGTCGCTACGCCTGGAGCGTGTCGAGGAACCCGTCCTCGGAACGGCCCGAAGTACATTAAGGGATTGTCAACAGGTCCACACCAAGCTACGGCTCTGCACCATCTGACACGTGGAGGTGACCGAGCTGCTCGAACGTTAATGTGTCCTGACAACACGGAACCTGGAGAAGATTGCCAACAGCATCAGGACTGAGGAGGGGGAACATGGCAACGCACTTTAGTCAACATCTGGGACTCGTATCTCTTGCTGAGAGTTCTGCGAATCGCCGAAACGTTCTTGCAGAAAAGGATGGGAACACCCCATCGAGCCGCCCGTGCAAGAGTCCAAAAAGTTCTGCCGATCGAGCATGGATTGGACACTGAAGGTTGTCACTCGGTATCCACCGGATTGTTAACCTCGTAGACTCAGGGTAAAGGGATGTATGTGTGCATGGCGGAATACCACGACCAATTTGTGAGTGACCGATCGATGCTGGTTAAGCCTCGGCAAGGTAAAGCAAGAGTTTACCGGATAAGACATGGACTTTATATTACCTTTTAAGTCACCTTTACGCTTTAATCTGTACCCAGTTATCTAGTACAGATTTATAAAAGTTAACTTTACAGGGTAAACTTAAAAATTACTCGGTAAGAGGGTAACTTATCTGTTTAGTAAAAGTGTTTAACCCAGAGGAGTTCAGAGAAAGGGAGTGGAGCAAGAATGTGGAATACTCACCTGCAGAAGGTACAATTGAATTCGTTGGTTCGTTGGAATGGTGTTGCGATAAGGATTGCGGCGTATCGATGCGTGAGCTTTGGTAGAGGAAGTGGGCCAATAAAGAACGTGCCATTGTTGCGGAGTTTTAGAATCCGAGCATATTGAGAATTTCAATGAATTTTGTCCATTGTAATAGTAAAATATTATCTCTATTTGGCTCTATTTTTATTTTATCCATTACTTTATCTCTAGCCAAACCTTTAACTTTTTACGTCTACCTTTTGCCGGTAACCCTAAAAGCTTACATTAGTATTGGCGAGGCATACTGTTGTACGAATTCTTTGGCTGCCATGGTTGGCAATCTGATGTGCTCACATCACACACTCCCACTAGAACCTGCTCTCTCTCTAGGCCTCGGGAGAAGCTAAACTACTAAAAGGTTCCACAGACTTGAGTTCAATACGAAGTCATGCCACAAGACCAGGACCGACCCATCTACTTTTAGGCGGTCTAGGAACGTGGTCTTATGTCTGGCGACAGTTTGAAATTGGGTTCTTTATTGGACCTTAATCTTCGACCAACAACCTTCCGCGGACCCAAAAGTTTTGCCCATTTTAAAAATGTTCTTCCATTGGAAATTTGGAGTTTCTACAGTACAGATTGTTCTTCTTTACACCCGTGAACATATTCATGAATCTCTATAAAACTCACGGACGTGAAGATAAATTTCTTTTCTCTATTTTCATTTCCATGTGTCGAAAATTAAAGGAAAGATTCAAGGTCCTTAGTTAGTTGGTTCAGTTTTCGGTTGCTTGCACCAAATGCACACTGATTTTCCTGCCCTATTTCTGCACGGTTCAGCCAACATTCATTGTCCATGTACATTTTTAACTCTATCTTATACCATATCAATGTCGTGGCTTTCGTGTTATGGAAGGGAGAGTGTAAGAAAACATGGAGATCCCAAAGTCAAGTTTGTGAGTAAAATGTTCATCCATTCTATACGAGCTTAAGGACCAGAGTCACTCTCCAGCAGGTAACTAAAGTCATTCGGAGAAGACTTACTTCCTCTTTAGTAGTGTTTAGTTTGTCCTGTTGTTCGAGGTCAAATACACTTCGTACATATGAATATTAAGTAGTCAAGTGTATAAGATAAAAAAATCCGGACAAGTAAAAAGGAATGGACAAAATCAAATGTTAAGCAGTATCATATTTTGTAAAAGTAAAAATGAATGGACAAAATCAAGAGTTCAAGAGTATCATATTTTATGCGTATGTTATACAACATATATAATATTAAGATAAGATTATCAATTTATTCTATATATGATAAATTTTATTTTATCTCAACCTTGTAATATAAAGAAACTATTTAAAATTAATGATTTAGATCACTTTCGATTCAGGGTTCAGAGTCACGTGGTCAATAATATTTTCTTGTTCATAACTCTCGTTTTGAATGCATTTGATTACACTGAATAATGTGGCAATATTCAGGATGACTGGAATATTGCAACCACGCTCAACAATATTTCGGTACTATAGTTCGAGCCTCGCTGTGATCTGATCTTGTTCCCGTTCACGGGCTCAAGGCCGCGGGTCGCGCGTCCACCGATTGACCTTGTGACCTCCGGTCCAGCCTTGGACGGTCGTCCCGTCTCGAAGAAAGCACTAGAGTCCAACATGTTCGGGGTTAAAGTACGTCAGAGAGGCCATGATCGGGATTCGCCCAAGGCCCGAAAAGAACCGACAACGCGTGGCAACTGGAAATATAAACCAGGTCCGGGGAGCGACAGTGTGAAACCGAGTAAAAGGCCCGAGGGAGGACTGGAAGGAAGGCCTCGCAGTATTTACGACCTTCCCGCAGAGGGACTCCGATTTATTTTCACGCAAGCGAGAGAACATGTCACTGATTTGCAGATCGTCGTCGTCGCGGCGGGCATGGCAGAGGTTGGGGGTGCTGATCGTCGATCGAGGACGATCGAGTATCGCGCCTCACGTAGCTCCCAGCAGTAAATTGCTCGCACGAAATTGGGTCGAACCAGGACCACCACCACGACATAGCGGTCACGGAGACCGCTCGGGATTTCTCCTGACGGGACGGCAGATTTCATACGGCCCCCTCGCAGGAGGAGGCACGAGGTGGCATCGAAGCTACTCGAGCGAGGCGTCTTCGGCTCGGCGAGATGAAGAAGCTCAGAATGACGATAAGCACGAGCTGGTCCGATCTCAATACTGGGGGATCGTCCCCAAGAAGTTCACCAGGGACGACGGCAGCCCTTGGCCTTGGAACTGCTTCAGGGTGCGTAGTACTTCACACCGACTGCCCTTGTTGGCTCACTGACTGACTGGCTGACTGGCGACCTCTCTGTCACTCGAATCACCTCATGGACTCCCAATTCTCTTTCTCTCTCTTTTGATTCACTTTCCAGCACGAATTAGTTCACAGCCAAATTGAGCTGAATTCTCCTACTTCTTGTCGAGATGCACCTGGAAGCTCTTGCCGTGAGTTCTACGAGCTAGCTGTTCATCGTGCTAGCTAGCTCTACGAGGCTCATCTCATCTGATGCAATGAGATTCTTCCCCTCGAGATCATCTCTTCTTCTACCTACGTCCTGCCTGACCTGTGTCGCTCATCCGTGAACATGCTCGGTTGTCGAAAGGAGCTTAGAAATTGAATGGATTATGCTTGTATTATGTGCAGCCGACGGAGACGCATCCGACGGATGTTACGATCGACGTGGACAAGCATTATAAGCCGACGAGCTTTGGTGACAAATTCGCTCACATTCTCGTCGGGAAAATCCTCACCCCAATGTCGGAGGCGTTTTTCCAGGTACATTGCATTTTCGAGTAAAGCCACTGAGAGGCATCGATGCTGAAAAATGTGCGTCCATTGAGCGATGAATGCTGCTGCTCCGGTCGGAACCACTAATCTAATTGATGAATCATAGAATCAATCGAACGAGCTAGTCTCGTCGCTCGGTTCAGACTCGAACGGCTAAGCCTCGCCGGGGGATCGCAAATTGCACGGACGTAAATAATGATCAGATCGAACGCAATTTCTGCAGTCAGAATCAGAATCGAGAATGCGCTGCACCACAGAGAGGTGACTCGGGGGCTGGCTGCGCAGGAACGATGGGGCTGCCACGCGGTGCTGCTGGAGACGGTGGCGGCCATCCCGGGAATGGTCGGGGGGATGCTGCTGCACCTGCGCTCGCTGCGCCGGTTCGAGCACAGCGGCGGCTGGATCAAGGCGCTGCTGGAGGAGGCGGAGAACGAGCGCATGCATCTGATGACGTTCATGGAGATCTGCGAGCCGCGGTGGTACGAGCGCGCGCTGGTGATCGTCGTGCAGGGCGTCTTCTTCAACGCCTACATGGCGCTCTACCTGCTGTCGCCGCAGCTGGCGCACCGCCTCGCCGGCTACCTGGAGGAGGTTGCCGTCCACTCCTACACGCGCTACCTGGCCGCCGTCGACCGCGGTGAAATCGAGAACGTTCCCGCCCCGGCCATCGCCATCGACTACTGGCGCCTCCCCCCGGACGCCCGCCTCCGCGACGTCATCATCGTCGTGCGCGCCGACGAAGCCCACCACCGCGATGTCCAGCACTTCGCCGCGGTACTCTCTCTCTCTCTCTCTCTCTCTCTCTCGATTCTCATCCCTCGTCGTCCGAATGCTTTCGGTCTCTCGATGCTGACTGACCTTCCGTCGTCGGAACGTGGCTTGCAGGATATACGCAAGCAAGGCAAGCAGCTGCACGAACACCCGGCGCCGGTGGGATACCAGTGACTCCAGTGATTGCTTCCTCGATTCGACTCGACTCGACACCAAAAACATTGTACATGGCGCCGAATGGCTCAAAGTCCCATGATTCCTCTCTGTGAATGAGTGACTGATGTTGTCAAACATGCATGAGCGCGTGAGTATCATCATACGTAAGAAGAGGCTTCGTCGTAGCAATTCAAACAGGTCAATTCCACTTTCAGACTCTTAGAATAGATGTAGTGGTTCTTAACTGAAGTGAGGCCGAGAGTGGCTGGCTGGCTGGGTGCTTGCGTGCGTGCGTATTACAGCGGGTTTGTGTTCTGCGGCGATCCTGTGAACGCTTTCACGGCCACTTATACTCTTACCTCCAAAATTAACTCGTGCATCCATATCCTCTCTTCCTTTGTTGCAGCAGTATGGCTGCTCGTGCTGGCAAGACCATATCTTTTGCCAAAACGAGAATTGTTCCATAGTCCGAAGGACAAGTGACAATTCTGAGACCACCGGAGTGCAATGTAGACGTAGAAGCAAATACGGGCTTGAGTTTTTCCTACACGTTCCGACGACCTTCTCGGGTCTCCAGAAGGAGACGATTCTATTTTCCGAAATCGTTTTTTATGACGAGCCGAAATCTGCTTTTGCAGACAGTCTGCACAGATTTTCCAGTTCACATTCATATGACAAAATATCGTGTGGGGCACAGGAACCTTTGTTTCTGTCATCGTCATCCCAAACGACCGGCAGAGTACGGTAGAACGTGGGTACCTTTAATAAGGTGTTAATATGGAACTAAAAAACCAAGTCATTGTAAATGTAGACCCTTCATTGATATTATAATACCAAATCGTTGGCACAATATTGGTAGAATTGAAAATTTTAATGAAGGAGCTGTGTACAGACTTCGGGAAGCCCGCTCAAGATTTTCCTGGCTGAATCCTCTTTCCAGGACTATTTTGGTTATGATAGGCAGAGGGTATGAGAGCCTTTCCGCACTTCCATCCCACCCACAACGAGGGTCATGATTGTCATGCGTTGTTTGTAAATGACCTATGGTAGTGTTGGAGTTTATAGCACAAAATAGAACATCTCATGACAACAAATCATATACATACCAATTTAATACTTATGACTTACTTAATACTTAATTGTAATGAGTATCTAACCAATTCAAAATTGTATTAATATCTTTTAAAATCAATACTTCAATCTATATCTTCATCTTCTTCAAAAGTTATAATGAATGAACTCTCTTGATACATTGTCAATAGTGCAGATGATGTTAAACAAAGTTTTGGCTTGTAAATAAAGTTATTATCCTAGTATGAAAATCATCTTTATGCATTTAATCCTCATGCCATTGTAAATTGTTTTTTTATAGTGATAGTTGTGAAAACAATCGTTTCACTATGACATTAGGAGGAGGTATGAAAAAAAGTTTCATAGCAAATTCATGAAAAGTCTTTGCACCCACAATAGAATGTCAAAAATGAATTGTGAAATTTTTGTTTGAATTCTTTGTGAAGTTTTCTATTGATGTAGTTGTGTAATTTTGCTACAAGTGAGATCTCGACGAAACTCTATACTTTCACAAAATTTGCAATATACTTCCAAATGTCATTGTAAGTATTTTATTTTTGAAAGGGCAACGAATGGATATTAAGGATTAAAAAAAGAGCTGCACATTGTATGATCAAACTCAAAAGTGATCTTTATATAATCTTGATAATTTGGGCCATGAAGCTATTGCAGTTGATATTGGATGATCAAACTCGGAAGTACTCTTTCAAAACATTTTGATAAGGTGAGACTTGAAACAATAGCAATTTTCAAAATGTACACATTCTTCATAATTATGTAAAGTTTGATGAGTTCAGCAAAAATTTGATCTAATGTGATAGAATATTGCTCAATACGAGCTATATTGTCAACAATCGACTTGATGAGCTTGCAATCTCTTTGTTGACTTCAAAGTGATAATCGTATTGCAATAACTTGGAGATGTACTTGTTGATTGGCTCGTTGGCTAGCTTTGACTTGTTCATGCAATGTTGAAAACCTTTGTGATATGATGAGACATCAAGACATATGACCATAGTGATGACCATTGTGTTTTATAAAACCTTGACAAAAATTTATGTTGTTTTCCTTATTCCAGGTCTTGAGTTGTATCGTCCAATAATAAGAACTCGTGAAAAAGTTGATCAATTTGCAATTTCTCTCGAAGACTTGATTCATAGTATTTTGACCTAAAATATCTTTCGTTATCATATTAAGATGATAGAGACAACAGCACAAAAGATCAATGATTGTGTGCAAGCAGGCCATATTACTTCTCATTCTGATTATGGTTATTGGACTATTTAATACAAAGGTTACAGTTTTTTGTCAATGATTGAATACTTTTTTTAGTTGACAATATCAACTATTTTTGCAATGCTCATGATCTTGATGATCACGCTCATGATGAACGTGATGATCATCATCATCACCACGCTCATCAAACTCATCATCTTGGAGATAATGCATTTTACAGGTTGACCAACTGCAAGTGCACCTTTGAATGGCTATGTACGTGCACACTCAACAGTCAAGTCTCCTCGGACAAATGAGAGATAAAGACAGAGTCAATTACATCATAGTGTCCGTCCACGGCCATGTTGCTTCTTATCCGCCTGCAAATTCAAGTTGACTGGAGCAACGCAGACTCACAAAGAATTATGGCTGGACATCCGCACGAGGAACAAAGATTCAATCATGTACCCCATGCGCTTGGGCAGATTCAGGCTGACAGAGTGATGCTTTTGACAAAGAACGGTAGAACATAGCACAAATTCTGTTGAATCCACTTTGTGAAATTCAAATCCAAGTTCTTGATAAAACGTCATTCTATAGTGTACAAATTGATTCTTGTAAGAATGTCGGGGGTGGGGCAGGCCAGGCTAACGGGCATGGGGGAGCATTGTGATCATTATCACCACGCTGTGATAATGATCACAGCTTGGTGCAAAGTGTTGGCAAACATCTTTTCATCCTTTCATTGTAAGTGCCACATTGTTGATGGGCTGATCTCCAAACTTCAGCAAACACTAATTGAATCGTTTTTATAATAATCGATCTTAGACTATTATTTTGTTGATGGAATTGAAATCACTGATAAATACTGCAAATTTTTTGTTAGAATACACATTGAATACATTGTTGAAGGTAATCAAAATGTTTAAAATATAATACTGATGATTATATTGTACGTTTGCATTCATTAGCACATTGAAAAACTTTGACAATAATCACTGTTTGTACCGCAGCAAAAACATTTGTTATGCTTCCAAGCCTAATTTCAATGTGATCGTTGATTGCATTGAGATTCATGATTGTTTTAAAGTTCACTCTTCATATATTCAACTCTACTTTGAAATTCCAAATTACATCGATGCAAAACATGATGTATCAACTTGTTAAGCTTGTCATCAAAAATATTCCACAATGTTCACACATTGCACAATATCAATTTTATTCTACTTCTTAACCAAGTGATAAATACATTGTCATCTTGAATTTATCATGTCATATTTTTTTTCCATTCATGTTGTATTTCTATTTGTTGTCTGACTTTGACTGTGACGATGATGACATTGTTGTTGATTCTAACATTTGCACTAAATCATATCAACTCCAGCCGCATCAGTTTGCACATTTCTTCTTACTCCTCAATTTTGATATCTTGAAAAACGACCAAATTTTCAAGCAACTTTGCCGTTGCCAACATTAAAATCTCAACACTTTCTATAGAGCTTGTAGGTTATGAGACATACCATGCTAGCATTCAGTTGCGAATTATGAAGTTTGAATTTTGAAATCCGAATGTTGTAATGTGTTTGAATTGATTGCAGTTTAGTTTTAAATCACTTGCTGAAAACTAAATTGAGCCAGTAGTTTTGAGCGAGTGATTGAAACGTCATATCACCTGTATTTGTTGCTTTTGTCAATTTTTCTATATTATATCTTCACACCTATATAAAATTTCATGAAAAAATATATTTTTTGGATCAAAATATCATCATGCAACTTCAATGTAAGATATCTATCATTTTTAAAAAAGTTATATGACAAAGCATCATATTTTGAATAAAAATGATAAATTTAAAAAGATAGCAAAAATTATACCCAATTCAAAGTTGGATGAAAATAGTTAGCATCCAAATAATGCACTAAAAATTTAAAATAAAAATATCAAAATTCAAATTTAATGTTTTGAATAATAATAAGCTCATATATATATATATATATATATATATATATTGTGTGACAAATTGGAAGTCAAATTTGATAAATAAAAAATCAATTATATATCAATTAATAATCAATATATGGATGATAATATGATTTAAATTTTAATAAGATTTTCATTATTTAAGATATCTAACCTCATAATTTTTTCATCTGCAATGTTAGATAACATAAATTAACAAATTACAAAGAGTTAAAGATTTATCATGATTATTACTAAGAAAATATTTCTTTCAAATAAATGAATATCTATATTCATTATTGGAAAAAAACTTATATACTATAAAGTCTAGAATTTTCATATAGTCAATAAAGGATTCATGAAGTTATTTTTTTGTGCTTTAAATATATATTTTTGAATCATCTTATCAATGTAGATAAATATACATAATTTAAAGTAAATTCTATTATAAATTTCCAAAAAAATCACTTTATAACATCAGTCGATATTTCATCATATGCAAACGATTTAAGATTTCAATCTACAAACATTTTAAATTGTTTTGTAATGTGTATTAAATTATATATTTGATGATATTAATTTTTAATATTTTACAAATATATGCAATACATCTTTAACAATTTATTTACTATCTTGAAAGAATCTTATATTCATTATTATTTTCAAAATTTGACATGGCTTTTTCTAGTTTATAATATGGAAACTAACATTTAGTTTATATGTTTAGTTCTTAATAGTAGTATTTAATACACTGAATTTGATTATTATGAGATAAATTATATATTTTTTATTTGATAATTTATACAAATAATTGTTTGAAAAATATAATATCAAAAATTATATTTTGATTAAAAAACTTGCATAACCATTTTTTAACAGAAAAATTATAATAATTTTTAAAATAAAGAGAAAATTTTTTTATATATCAATAAGTAAAATTAATTTAATATATATCATAACTCGTATTAAAATTAGTTTACATTAAAATTTATTTTCAATTATTTTTTGGATAGAAAATTTCATATGCTTTAGATCTTTTGATTCTTTTTTTATGATTTATTACCAAAAAAATGTACCAATAAATTTCAAAATTTTATTCATTATGATGATGATGATTTTTAATGATATATCTAAGAATTTTGATTCCATTTAATTTCATCTACATCAAGGATAAAAATATTATAAAAAATTTCAATGTTTAAAATGATCTTTTCAAAAAATTTACCTTAGAATATATTGAATTTTTCATTAGTAAGTGTTAAGATTTTTTACAACAAAGACATTGAATCTTAAATGGGTTTTTATGTAACATTATTAGTTTATTAGTTATAGAAAAGTCTAATCAAAATTCAACTATGTCATTCATTCATTCATAATAATAAAAATGATAATATGCATGATTTAAATATTTAATTTCGAAATTTAATCATTTAATTGATTTTTTATTGAAAACATGATCAAATTTGTTAACAATCAGATTTGATGACATAGCACTCATAGACATTTGTTAAACTCGTGTTGTCATACAAGACCACAAACAAATTTCATATCTTTCAAGATTCAAACTTAAATTTGAAGTTTTAAGATTTTTAATATATAATTTACTTGAATTAGAAAACTTGAA